CCCTCCCCCCTATTTTTCAATAACATTGGTCGTAATATTTTACAGTATCTTAAAGCCTACATAAAACCCTGCCCTTTCTACGTTATGTATGTTTGGAACTGGATGATTCCTCAGAGAAGATGGACAGATTATGCACAGATGTGTTCAGTAAAGTTTCTTTGGCCGTTGCTGAAAGTAGTGAAAGAAGGTAGGATTGCTGGTGAGGATAAATGACAGAGAAAAAGCTGACGTACTAGATGAGTGGGGTAGGTGGGGGGGGGAACAACTGGAAGGAAAATGTTCTCTCTGAAGCAGTTGAGAAATAAAAGTAGGAAGAAGTCGACAAGTGGTGTGAAAGAATCAAACTCTTTGAGAGGAAGAGGGGGGGAAAAGTATACATTGTCAGCCAGCAGTTCAAGTGTACTAAGCCCTACAGTTTTGAATTTTTCTTTGCAGTTTCTCATCTTTGCCGTTTCCTAGTCTGTGGTATCGGTTGCGAAAGTAAAATATTCGGTCAAATGGCACATTCCAAATGTTGAAAACAGCAGGAAAAGATACATCGTAACGTACATACAATTTGTAAAAGAATTGAACCAGCTTTATTTTTTTTCTTCTCATTCCTGATAAATTTTTGCGTTCTGCGCTTAGGGCAATTGAACAACTTGCTGACAAATCCTCTTGCTGCAGTTAGGACATTCTATCACCTTCTCGTCAGTGACAAAAAGTCAGAGGAAACAAAAATTTCAATCATGAAAAATATGAAAGAGGATGGCAGAAACAAGGAGACGGAGAGCAGTCACGCTGGGCAAATGAAAAAGAACCAGCAAAACCAGCAAAATAAATTAGCGAGGGCGCACACAGAAACATACCTAGCAAGCGTAATGGTACTCTTTAAAACTTCAATACTGTTAACGTCACATTGGATAAAATAATTTTTTTTTTAAAAAGATGTGGGGTTGGGGAAAGGGAGGAGGAGGGGATGACAGATATGTGTACAGGTCATTCAGATTCACAAAGGAACATTGTACTCCAAAACTCCATTCACAGTAGGTGAAAAAATCAACTCTGATCAGTTGAATCAAGTACCATAAGGAAATATTTCAACAACCTCCTATGGTGTGTATAGACAAAAAAAAAACACCAAAAAAACCCAGATGTGCTCCAAGCCATGGAGAAAAATGTCTTCTTTGCTCATTGTAACATACATATGGAGGTACCCTCCAAGATTTGTTTTGTTTATTTTACTCTTCTACGATAGAGACAAAAATATAATTCACAACCAGTGTGTGCTTTTCAAATTATTACAACTGGTGACAAAAAGTAAGGGAGAGAATGGGTGGGTGGG